ATAAGATGATAGGAAGCTTAAATTTTTATGGGGTTTTGGGATCGGTTTAACGAAAGTTTCCATTGTATGGAAAAGTTTGTAGAACTCAAAATTGCGTTAAATAAAGAAGTTAGCGAAGGGTCTTTCTCGACATTCTGACGAAGGAACTTGTTTTCTTTTAAAATTGCTTTATATCTGATTTTGAACATAAAAATTATTATATTGAAGACAGCTGTTAATCATATGAATATCTATAAACTATAATTTGTCTGTATTCCTTTTGTTTAACTTGAGAAAAAATATTATGCAAGGTATACAGTATTTAAAAAAATAGATATGAATATAAAATATTAATATAACTATATAAACTATTGATATAGTGAAGGATATTTGGAATTTATATTTAAACTTTCAGGTATAATTTAGTCGTTTAATAAGTAACGTTAATACGTTTAATAGTGCTTTCCTTGGTTTCTTTTTAATTTTTTTTTTAAATTTAGATTTGAAAAGTAATCCATTATATTTAGTTGTCTATTGACCAAATTACTTCTTTCAATTAATTAATCTTTTTATGTGAGGTTTTGGTTGAAGTGAAAAAAGCTAGTGCCATGAGTGGGATTCGAACCCATGACCTTCGGCTAAATACGCCGCTGCTCTCCCACTTGAGCTATCGTGCTTCGATCGCCCATGACACAAACTTCGCCTGCGACACAAATTTTTCATTTCGAAAAAATTGTGTATATTGAGTTAGATGTTCAAAAATATTAAAAATGGTTAGATGTTTAAAATTGAGTTAGATGTTTAAACAGTTAAGAATGGGCGAACTCGACTGGCTTATAGAGGATGTGTGTTTGATGGTTTTGATACCTACATTGATTGAATCTAAGATTTTGGTTGAAAAATGGCACAAAAAGGCGGGAAAATTCGAAAGGTTGTAGGTTGAGATGGGGATTTGGTGTCCGAGTGGATCGAAGTCACGATAGCTCATGTGGTAGAGCAGCGGCGTATTTAGCGGAAGGTCGTGGGTTCGAATCCCGCTCGTGGTACTAGCTTTTTCATTTCAACCAAAACCTTATATAAAAAGACTAATTAGTTGAAAAGTAAGTGAAAATTCCAAAGGTACGTTTTGCCTAGTGATTCAATATCTTTCTTAACTGAAATAATTGAAATCCTACCGTTAGGAAAAAAATCGATATTACCACATGTCGATTTTAGACCAGATATATTCTTGTGGACACATAGATAGCTCTAGTTTTTTTGTATGTTTACAACGCGTTTTAACCGACGTGAAACGCAGGTCTGGGGTTCGGAAAACTTCCGTGTATTGTATTGTAACAGGAGGAATCGTTATTCTTAATAGCCGTAACACCGTTTTCCTCCTTCCTAGGGTGAGAAAGCCGAGGAATTCGCCGTGATGGTCGTTTTCAAAAAACCGGCCGCTTTCTCGTGCCAAGCGCCCCGGGGTTTGTAAAGCTCTCGTGGAAAATGTTTAAATATCGCTTCAAGTTCGGCCTAAAGCCACGACCCGCTTTCGACTATCAGAGCTCAGTTTCAGCTGACTGTGTTTTTTTGTTGTTGTTGACATTTTTCACCAAGCCCATTTGAATCAACTCTCTCTGGTCGTAAATTCTACATTAAACTCTGTAGGATGCAGTTCTAGTCTAAAAACGGCGACAATGCAAAGCCACACATTTCACATCAGACCTCTTCTAAAAGTAAAGCACTGGATTTGAACAATACCGCCCGGACCTCGCACCTTCAAACTACGACTTGTAACAATATGTATCTGCAGGACGTTAAGATTAGATGACTGAATGTCAGCAACCTTAAATATCACATCACTTACATAATTTTATAGCCAAAATTGGTATATTAAACAAATAGATAAATGAAATTGAAAAGAAAACATTAAGTTCGAACTTTAGAGTTCTTTTTCTCCTTCGCCAGGTCTTTTCATTCAAATGTGTGAAGTTTGTAAATTATTAATAATGTTTCAAAATTCTGATGAATTAGTTAATAGCACGAGTAGTCTATCCAACAGGCTTTATCTCTGATTTTTTAAATAAAAATTGAACTTGCTGTCAATTGTAATGGCTAAGTAACTGATTGCTTCAGATTTAGGGATTTTTTATTTTTTATTAATTCATTTATTACATACTTCAAACAGGGAAGCAGCTCCAAAATAAAAAAGTAATACATTAGGTAAAAACAGTGTATAAAAAGTAAACAGACAAACATGACAACAGTCAAAAATATACATGTAAACAGAAATAAGGAAAATCAAAGATTAAAATTCATTGTAGTTCAAGCGTAATTATTATTCCTTAAAAACTCAAAAATCATTCTTTTAAAGGCCATCTGACTGTCAAAAGTGGATCAATGGACACATTCAAAGATTGCTAAATTCACATCAAACTTATTTCATGAATGAGACATCGGTTCTTCAAGAGGAAATGTAAAATAGTTCAGCCTCTTGCAAACTCAGATTAGGCACCTTTAAGATGAGTTGTGATAGAATTTTTGGAACATCAATAAAACCGTTAAAATTTTTTTCATCCGAATAGCGAAAAATCACCAAGGAGTCGATATTCAGTGCGTCTATAGCCGCAGAATACGCAGTGATACCAGATTTAAACATTAGGTATTTGGTACCATTTCTCTGATTTATTTCTAAGTCATTTGAATGGTTTTGTTCTCCCAACCAATATTTTTTTGAATAAACACTAGCAAAGTCAGACGTCATACGTTTAATGAAGCCCAAGTTCCTGTACGTCCTATTGATCATGGATGATCTTCAAAGGTATACTTCTTATTAAAAACAACCCTAAATCAACAACCTCGGAGACCTCCCCACGAGGAAAGTATATGATACAGAATACTGTTCAGAGAAATCAACTTTTTTGCAGAAAAAGAAATGTAATGACATTTAAGTAGATTAGTCGAAAGTCTGTTGAAAATGCACTAGTCATGAAAGGAAGAAATATCTTTTTGTAACAACAATCATTAAACGTAGAAATACATTTGTAGATTTTTAGGTCATAAGCCAATAAAGACACTTTAGAAAATTTAATTAAATCAGCAGTCATTAAAGAAAATGATTATTTGGGGATCGTGAAATGCAGTCTGGTGTGACGTAGGTTTTAGAAAAACGCTTTCTTTATCGTGCCAACGTTTCGATCTTTATTGAGATCATCTTCAGGGCCCGGGATTTATAAATGTTGTTTAAATTATACAAATTTACATGTGTAGGGTGTGAAAAAAGTGGATTTATACAATACTATAAATTTTAGACTCAATAAAAGTATTTGTGTTTGTTTTCTGTGTACACTGATTTTTTTATTACAGAAGTATGTGTTTCTAAGGACAGAATTGACATGTTTGCAAGAAAAACAAGCTTTTTTCGGTAGGTGTTGAAGGATTTTTGCATTGATTAGGTAGTAGATGACTTAGGACATGGGATACTTCATTGCAGTTCTTCCTCGCAAAATGTAACTGCAGAATTGCAAAAACTAGAATTTGTTAAGACTAGAATGGACTGCTGACACTGCATTCTCAGGAGGCGTATGTACAGACTAGGGGTGGCAGAATCAAGCTTGTGATATTACCAGGAAGAAGGAACAGCGGTACATGTCCTCTATTGGTGAGATGTTTTGCAGGCTGAGATTCCAACTCCTGGGAGAGGAAAACATCCCGGATCTGAAGGATAATATGTCCTAAATAGGTCCTAAATGAAGTATCTGATAAAACCTTAAGCTTACCGAGAAGTTCTAGATAATTATGGAGATTGCACAAATATTTGTCGCTTAGGTCGTAAAGAGGCCGGCTTCTTTTGACCCTTAACCTTTAGATTATTAATAATAATGTTCTAAAATAAAAAAGGCTTTTAGTAAATTTAAAAAACTTACACCTTGTGTCTTTTATTTAAACAAAAAAGAAACAAAACAACTGATATTTCTCAAGATCTAATGCAAAGAAGTCCTCACTATTCAGAAAAAACAAGACAATATTGTAAATTTTGTATTGAAAATTGGCATTTTATTATTAGTAAGAAATCAGAATTGCGTGAGAGCGAGTGTGATGATGAGGACGAGAGAAGGAAGTGAACAAATTCGACCATCGCTCTTAATAGACTTCCCTAACTTGAAGAATTTTGTGAGATAATCGTGATCTTGATAAAAGATAAAATTGTAGTAGAAGCCCTGGTAAAATCCAAAACTGAAACCGTCGCAGATGAGAGGAGCTCCGGAGTGGTTGAAGACCAGCCGATCGTTTTTCGAGACTGGTTCCAGGCAATTTTCTTTCCCTTTGCAATTCTTCGAAAAAGGGGTTACTCGGGTGTATTTAATACTGGGAGACGACTTTTTATTTGTCGGCTGTCCCGGAGATTCCAACGTCCAACTAACGATTACGCACGTTTTTCCGGAGTCGAGGACATTTTTCCAACTCTTGCTAAATCCTTTTCTGTCCGCCGCGATTGGTTTCATAGGCTGGATTTTGGCGTTGATCAGGAAAGGCTTTTTCAACAACGCGTACGAGACGTCGTACGTTGGGTTGATCTGTCTATTGGAATCGTACCTCCGAAAGTACTTATGGTTTCGGTATTCGGACACAGTCGGGTCATCCGAAATGGGAGAATCGCAGCTCTTCTGCTCGGCGAGAACGCGGGGCGCGATCGAAGTAATTGTCTTACGCGTGAGCGATACCACAATTATCTTAAAACAGTGAGCGACTGTGAAAATCGTATTTGGCAAAATCAAGGATGCCATGCATTGAAAAGTCTTCTCTTCACACACTGTGACCACAAAAGAAATATCCGGTTTGGGTGATCGCTGGCATTTCGAATCCTTTCCGGAAGCAACTGCCACAAACAGAATTACGTATAAAAAAACTATCATCTCTACTCAATTTTTTTACGATTCTCCAAGCTAATAATGAATTTTTCTAAATAAAATCTCTACATGTGTTATATCTCTTTGCCTCTAAAACATAAATAAAATAAATTAAGATATATTTACCGTTTTTATCAGGCTAACCCAGCAACAAATGTGTACTGTGGTTTCCTCTTCTTCTTACCTAACTTTTCTACCTTCATAGACATTCTACTGCCTCTCCCAATGGGTTCGATCATATGCCTATTAAGCCGGCTATTTCCAGCCTACACTGATCTTAATAGAAGGCTTTGCTGCTGCACGTCTGTCGTACAACTTTCTTGTAGTGTTGTCCCACCAGGTTCTGAGTTTAATTCGGCAGTTACTTTTATGGCACCCTATAGGAAGAACAATCAAGGGTTATCCTCATGGCGGGCCAAGTTCGTCAAAACTGTAGCAAACCTCGTTGAAGTATTATATGAGTCTACTTTTGGCTAAACCGTTTGCCTTACCGCCAGGTCCTTAGTATGATTTATACTACAATTACTCTTCTTTATTCCAGTCCGGAGGAGGACTATTCAAGGGTTACTAGCATGGCAGGTTATGCTGGTTAAGTTTACAATACCCAACAGGGAGAAGGTTCGAATTCTCTTGATCCTAAGTCTTAAGTAGGCAAGATGATGTTGAAAAAAGAATTTGCCTGTCTATGTCTTGTGTTGATTTCCTACCAGTTCTTAGTTTAATTTATACAGCAATTACTCCTCTTTATGCCAGTCGGAAGAAGTACCATTAGAGGGTTATTAGCTTGGCAAGTTATTCTGTTAAGGTACACCAAACAGAAAGAAAGTTCAAATTCTCATGATCGTAAGTCTTAAGAAGGCGGAACGTTTTTCAAGAATGTCTTTAGCCTGTATCTAACTTGTTTATTACAGCTATGATTGCTATGTCAGCTTAATCTTTTATGGCAGTCCGAAGGACGGCCACTCAGGCGTTATTGGCATACCAGGCTATGCCGGTATGATTTCAACAGTCAACAGAAGAAAGGTGCAAACACTTTGGTTCTAAGTTTTAACCGTTTTTACATTTTACCGTCTACAGCAGGTCTGTAATAAGAAGGCAAGAATTTCTTGAAAAAAGTATTTTTCATGTTCTCTACCATGTGCTTTTGCATCCCTATGTACTTAGTTTGATCCATTCGGCAATTACTCTTATTTAATGGCAGTCTGCAGATGAAACACTCAAAGCTTATCTCATGGCAGGTTATGCTGGCTTCAAAGTGCTACACCCGACAGAAAGTTCAAGTTCTTGATCCTAAGTTTTATTTGCTTTACTGTTGCAAGGCGGTTGTAAGTTTAGGCGAGACGTTTTTTACCATATCATTTGTCTTTCTTTGTCTTTGGGTTGTTCCACCTGTTTTTGTTTTTTTTAATTTCAGTTTGAAATTTTACAGATGGATTCTAGTTCTGGTGTTCCTGAATAAACCATCCATTTCAGCCTTTTCGATTACCTTTCTTTGTGCCCAGGGACCCAGACAAGAGAGATAATTTGTCTGTTTCCTATTAGTGCGCTCACACATTCCATGCGTATGTACTCAGGATGGTTTGAGCGTAGGTTGATGACCATCTTTCGAAACTCCTCACTTACAGGCAGGACATAGTATTGAGTATTTGCGACTGCATGTGATTCAATAGGTTTGCTGTAGAACGTCATCAATTGATTGATGGTTGCAGAGAGCTTTATCAAGGACCAATAATCACTGTTTTCAAAATGTTCACACCAACATGTTTTGCTATGGCCAGAAGGACCCCATTCTCTTCAGTATTGATTTCATGAGCTGCTTTTTTAAGAGGAAGAGCAGTAATTAAACTTAGGTTTTATTGGGCCAGTATAATATTATTTAAATATATATATAATATATTTATCAACAAGACAGAATTGGTAAACATTGAAATGGAATTAACTAACATTTTACCATTATTTTAATTCCTTCATTTGATATAACAATATTTTTTTACGAGGTTTCGCAACAACAGACGTAATATAAACCGTCAGGGTGCCGGCGTTTTTGAAAAAAAAGCCCATTTGTAACTGAATGCCGGGCCGCTGGATTCGAACCCCGGACCTTTACCTTACAGTGATGAGCGCCGTGTCAAGACCTATAACGTTGCGGCCACCGACGCCCCTGGACCTCACGACAGACAATTATGTTTTAATTTTGAACCCAAATCACGTCACATTTGGGTTTTTCAGAAACGTACTTATGAGAAAACCTCGAAATTATAGGATGATTTTAAAGTCATTTGGTAAACTTTTTTTCAACTGTGACTTTCGTTTGAACTATTTTATTGTCTTAAAACAAAAACGAAATGTGCTTAATTTTAAGCCGAATTGAAGTTTTAATAAACAATTACAGGCTAGAGATTGTCTTTTTGTTATCAGCATATAAATGTCTTAAGTAAGTGGTGGTGCCTTGGGTTTTCAGTAAATAATCCGGTCTCTTCTCAATTAAGCCTTACGAGATATCGTGGAAGCCGGCCAACCAGCTCTGATAATCACGTTTTGTCTCTGGGCACAACTTTCTTCAGGAGAAAGAAATGATCCAATGTCCCACTTTACCCCATGTGCTCGATCTATCTCGACCCCAATAATCAAACACACATCCTCTAAGCCAGCCGAGATCGCCCATTCCTAACTGTTTAAACATCTAACTCAATTAATTATACACAATATTTTCGAAATGAAAAATTTGTGACGCAGGTGAAGTTTGTGGCATGGGCGTTCGAAGCTCATGTGGTTGGAGCAACGACTTATTGAGCCGAAGGCCGTGGGTTTTTCATTTCGAAAAATTGTTTATAATTAGTTGAACATATGAACAATTAAGAATAACATGTGTAAGTAACTCTGTAGTTCGATTGCTAAAATAATAGAATTGATTAACAGTCAATATTTCACAGTTATTTAACTTTCTCCGTCCTCTTACACCCACTGATCCATCACATGTTCAAAATTGCCAAAACAAATTAATATTAATTCATTAATTTGTAACGCTCTCATGGCCTCTAAATTAATGAGTTGATATTAATTTATTTTGGAAATTTGGAACATGTGATGGATCAGTGATTGTAAAACGGCAGATAAAGTGAAATAACTCTGAAATACTGACTGATAATCGATTTGTAACTCTGTAGTTAAATGACGTTATTTGATTGCAAAAAAAAAATAGATTTGATTGACAGTCAATGTTTAAGAGTTATTTCACTTTATCTTTCTTCTTACACACACTGATCCATTTCACGTTCCAAATTACCAAAACAAATTAGTATTAATTCATTAATTTGTGAGGCTTACATGGCCTCCTAAATTAATGAGTTGATATTAATTTGTTTTGGAAATTTGGAACTCAGTGAGTGTAAAAAGAGTCATAAAGTGAAATAACTCTGAAATATTGACGGTTAATTTCACTTTATCTGTCGTCGTACACTCACTGATCCATCACATGTTCCAAATATCAAAAACAAATTAATATTAATTCATTAATTTAGGAGGCCATGTGAGCCTTGACAATTACAATTGATAAAAGTAATAAAAAGTTGTTGTTTAAAGATGGTTACGTTTAATAAATTTTGTTACTGCTTATAGCGATTCTTGTTGTATGCGATGGATAAAATTGTTTGGACGAATCTTGGATCAATATTACAATGCATTTGGGGCTGATTTTCGAATTTAACATTCGTTCAACCAATTTGGTCGCTCTGCACATCCTTCTTGTCAGTTTTCATGATAAATCCAATATATTTCGTGGTCCAATTGACCAAACAACTTTTTTCAATTAATTAATCTTTATGTAAGGTATTGGGTGAAATAAAAAAGCTAGTGTCACAAGCGGGATTCGAACACACGACCATATATTATAGGTTAAATAAGAACTCTCTTCTCGCTCACTCTCTCTCTCTCTCTCTCTCTCTCTCTCTCACTCTCTCTCTCTCTCTCTCTTTCTTTCTCTCTCTCTCTTTCTTTCTCTCTCTCTCTTTCTTTCTCTCTCGCACTCTATTATTGGTATTTTTTTGTCCTGATCCTTTTTATTTTTTTCTCGTTCTAAATCCATATCATTTGCTTATTCTCTCTCTCTCTCTCTTGCTAAACACGCCGCTGCTCTACCACTTGAGCTATCGTGACTTCGATTTTCCCTCCTTTTTGCCATTTTTCTAATGCGAAAATTCGAAAGGTAGGTAGAGATGGGAAGTTGGTGTCCGAGTGGATCGAAGTCCGATAGCTCAAGTGGTAGAGCAGCGGCGTATTTAGCCGAAGGTCGTGGGTTCGAATCCCGCTTGTGACACTAGCTTTTTTATTTCAATCAAACCCATACATAAAGATTAATTTTCATAATAAAGTTAAGAAAGAAGAAAAAAATTAGTGGGTGAACTACATAATTCCCGAATAATAACAGTTGGACGTCTGTGGTTGGAAATTTCACAGATTTGTGAAATATGCCAGTTTTGAGGAAAAGGTATTAAAAAGAAAGTCGTTCTGGTCAACGTGTCGATGGCACACCGTACTTCATCCGAGGCTAAATTTCCATCGGTCGGCTTTGAGGGCGGTCGTCTTACACCGCGATCCATCGCTGCGAAGAAAGAAAGCGATTTTCACCCGTGCGGGTCAATCAGGCCGTATAGTTTTCTATTTCATAGAACGGGGGGAAAATCGTATCCTTACTCTTGAGAGGATGACACCGCTCCAGCCGGCCTTGACCACACTTTCCGCGACTGATCGAGGTTAGGAGAGGCTTTCGTCAACCCTCAGAATCTCAGTAGTGTACTAGCAGGATTTGTCAGCTGATCCTCGAGGTAAATCTTTATGATTCAGGTCGGAAGGAAGATTTATTCTAAAATATGGAAGATTTCTACAATCGAACTTGTCCATTGAAAACAATTTGGACTGTGAGATATGGTCGTAACCGATTATTTTGGTACCCTTATGAGTTGGCCTGCATCTTCAGTGTAAGATCTTGGAAGATTGACAGACCAACCCAGCGAGGATAAAAAACGGGCAAATTTCAAGTTCATTGAGAAATCTCACCAATTTGGAATATTATCCACATGGAGTATTACATTATCCACGTTATCCTTTCTTATGAAAAAATCGATTTTATCTATTTTTCTTTAATTTGACGCATGTTCTGAAAATCTCGGAAAGAAGCAATCATTTTAAATTACTTACTTTCACTAAATGATTCTTGCTTGCATAAGCATTGATCATCGATGACAAGCACAACCAAATCTCAATTTTATCTAATGAATTTAATCATATTCTCTGTGATAAATAATTGTAAACATTACATGAAACGAGTCTACAAATGTAGGAATTTGATTCATTTTTTGGCAGCATTGTTATTTCTAAT